CATCCTTCTCAGTGGTACTCCTCAAAAGACACATATCCTATTTTTAAATTTTTTTTGTTCCTTTTGTTTTTTCAAGACAGGCTTTCTCTGCATAGCCCTGGCTGTCCTAGAACTCACTCTGTAGACCAGCCCGACCTCAGACTCACAGAGATCCACCTGCCTCTGCCTCCTCAGTGCTGGGATTAAATGAGTGGGCCACTACTGCCAGGCTGATTTTTTATATTTTTGTTTTTTGGGTGTGTGTGCACAAGTGTTTAGAATACATACGGAGGAGTGTGTCAGCTGTTGTGTAGGTACAGGAAACGCAGGTTCTCTGCAAGAGCAGCAAGCGCTCTTAACTTCTGGGCCATCTCTCCAGCCTTATTTATTTATTAACATGGGCACAGGAGATCAAACTCAGGCCTTCATGCTGGGGAAACAGTTACTTTACCAACTGAGCCTCATACTCCCAAGGGTCAGAAGCAGAAAGGGAGGGGAGAAGATGCTGTAATGAGTCAGAAGATGAACTGGAGGGAGGGGGGAGGGAGGGAGAGAGAGAGGGAGGGAGGGAGGGAGAGAGGGGGAGGGAGGGAGGGAGGGAGGGAGAGGAGGAGGGAGGGAGGAGAGGAGGAGGGAGGGAGGGAGGGGAGGAGGGAGGGAGAGGTCACTAGACTCCCAGAGATAACAGGCAAGGAATGATAGTGAGGAGCATTTGTAACCTGAGCATTCTGAAGAGAAGAAATTCATAGTCATCTTTAGCAACACAGGGAACTGAGACCAGACAGGGCTGTGTGAGTCTCCATATAACAAGGTTCAGTGGGTAAAGGTGCTTGCTGCTGAGCCCGACAACCTGGTTCAGTCTCTGGAACCCACATGGTAGAAGAAGAAAACTGACTCCTGATCATCTCAGGTACAATAGGTTATGCACACCAACACACAGACACACACACATACACACACACACACACACACACACACACACACACACACACAGACACACACACAGAGACAGACATACAAACACACACAGAGGCACACAAACACACAGATACACAAACACACACACAGACACACAAACACACAGATACACAAACACACACAGACACACACACACAGAGACACACACATAGACATACACAAACACACACAGAGGCACACACACAGAGACAGACATACAAACACACACAGACACACAAACACACACACAGACACACAAACACAGAGATACACAAACACACACAGACACACACAGAGACACACATAGACATACACAGACACACGCAGAGGCACACACACAGAGACACAGACACACAAACACACACAGAAAAACACACACACACAGAGACACACAGATACACACATACAGATACACACACACACACAATAAAAACATAATAATTTTTAAAATGTCAGGAAGTGGCCGGGCGGTGGTGGCCCACACCTTTAATCCCAGCACTCGGGAGGCAGAGGCAGGCGGATCTCTGTGAGTTTGAGGCCAGCCTGGACTACAGAGCGAGATCCAGGACAGGCACCAAAAAAAACTACACAGAGAAACCCTGTCTCGAAAACAAACAAACAAAACAAAACGAAACAACAACAACAACAAAGTCAGCCAGTGGATTCTGTCTGGAGCTTCTGGGAAGGAACCAAACAAACGAAGACTGGACCTCAGCCTAATGAGACCTTCCCGATGCTGCAGATTCCGATCTGTGTTATCAGTGGTCTTCCCTGCGGTGACCACAGTTAGCCCCTCCTACTACTTTTGCATTAGAGATGACATCTGAACTCAAACCTGCCTGAGCTGAAATCTTAAGTTTTTTGGGGGGTCATAGTCTTTTTCTCTTTCAGTGTTAGGACAGGACCCGGGGCCTTGGGCCAGGCAAACTCTCTACCACTCACTACAACCCCTGCCTTCCGCAATCTCTTGAATCTGTGCAATTTGGGATGATTCCAGGTATTCTGTCCTCGGGTCAGTGGGCTGTGTGTATGTGTGTGAGTCACATAGACATGAGTCAAGAAGCGGAGCATCCCCTGGGCGTGGTGCGTGCCGGCTATCCCAGCCGTCGGGGGGATGAGGCAGGAAGACGGACGCAAGTGTGGGTCCAGCCTGGGCACATAGGAAGAGCCTGAACAGAGAGGGACGGAGAGAGAAACAGAGAACAGTAATGCCAGACACTACGGGCATTTTCATGGTTCTCTCCCTCTCTCTCTCCCCTCCCTTCCTTTCCCGTCTCCCTCCACTTCTTTGAGACAGGGTCTCATGGATGGACTCAAATTCCCTTGAACTTCAGCTCCTCCTGCCCCACCTCCCCAGGTGGGCAATATCCCATCTGGTTAAGGTGGTGTTGCCAGTAGAAACCAGGGCTTTATGAATTCTAGGCACACTCTCCCAACTGAGCTACGTCCTCAGCCCTGTCTATTTGTGATTTTGATTTTCCGAGACAGGGTTTCTCTGTGTAGTTTTGGTTGTTCCAGAACTCGCTCGGTAGACCAGGCTGGTCTCAAACTCACAGAGATTCGCCTGCCTCTGCCTCCCGAGTGCTGGGATTAAAGGTGTGGGCCACCACTGCTTGACATAATTTTTTTTTTTTTTGAGAGAGTCTCACTACTGAGCTCTGACAGGCCTGGAACTTCCTGCATACATTGAGCTAGCCTTAACCTTGAGGCAATCCTCTTGCCTCTGCTTCCCAAGAGCTGGGGCTGGGCTGGCAGGCACGCATCGACATAGCTACCACTCACTGTATGTGTGTGTATGTGTGTGTGTCTGTCTGTCTGTGTGTGTGTGTCTCTCTGTGCGTCTATGTGTGTGTGTCTGTGTGTCTCTGTGTGTGTGTGTGTCTGTGTCTCTCTGTGTGTGCGAGTATGTGTGTCTGTCTGTCTGTGTGCGTGTATGTGTGTCTGTCTGTGTGTCTCTGTGTGTGTGTGTGTCTGTCTGTGTCTCGCTGTGTGTATCTGTCTCTGTGTGTGCACGAGAGTATGTATGTGTGTGTGTCTGTCTTTCTGTGTGTCTCTGTATGTGTGTGTGTGTCTGTCTGTGTCTCTGTGTGTATATGTGTGTGTCTGTCTGTGTGTCTCTGTATGTGTGTGTCTGTGTGTCTCTGTGTGTATCTGTCTCTGTGTGTGCGTGCGCACGAGTGTGAGTATGTGTCTGTGTTTGTCTTTCTGTGTGTGTCTCTGTGTGTGTGTGTCTGTCTGTCTTTCTGTGTGTCTCTGTATGTGTGTGTCTGTGTGTCTCTGTATGTGTGTGTGTGTCTGTCTGCATCTTTCTGTGTGTCTGTTTGTGTCTCTCTGTGTGTATCTGTCTCTGTGTGTGTGCGTGAATGTGTGAGTATGTGTGTGTGTCTGTCTTTCTGTGTGTGTCTGGGGGTGTGTGTGGGTGTCATTCTCTTTCTTGGGTCTCACTATGTAGCCCTGGCTGGTCTGGAACTCACTCTGTAGACCAGGCTGGCCTCAAATTCAGAGATCCACCTGCCTCTACCTCCCGAGTGCTGGGAAACAGGCGTGCGCCACCACACCCAGGCTTTATTATTTGGTTCCTGATACTCAGTATCTTTTCCTCTGAGTCTTCCTGGTTCAAAGCCCTCCCGAGATTTCCCAGTACCCCAGCGAACCATTCCAAGTCTTTGTGGCATCCTAGAGCTTTGGGTTTTACTCTGCTGTTTTCTACTGGCTGCTCCCCTCTGAACTTACAGAGGCATTGCACTTTCACAGGCCAGAAGGTTTGGGGACGGCCTGACTCTGCAGAGGCCTTCTCTTACTCTGCAAATTCTCACACGTCCTCTTTCTCAGTGTGGTTGGTGAGGCTTCCCAGTGAGCTTCTACCCCCTTCCCCACTCCTCATAAACACCGGCTACAGCTGCTAGTTGATAATCTCCTCTTGGGTGGGGGGGCAGACCACTGTGCCCCTTATTACAACTTAGTTACTCCCCCCTGCCCCCCGTGAATTTATGTGTTCTTGTTTTGGGGGAGGTGCATTTCTGTGTGCTAGAGTGTACGCCTGTAGATGTGGATGTATGCGGAAGCCAGAGGACAGCTTCCAGTGTCCTTTCTCAGGTACCACCCACCTTGAATTTTGATATAGGGTCTGTAACCAGCCTAGAACTCATGAACTATGCTGGCTGGCCAGTGAGCCTCATCAGATTCTCTGGCACTGGGATTACTGGCAAGCCACCATGGCCAGTTTTTACTTTATTTTATTATTATTTTAATTACATTTATGGGCCAGCCATGGTGGGACACAGCTTTAGTTCCAGCGCTAGGGAGGCAGAGCCAGGTAGGTCTCTGTGAGTTCGAGGGCAGCCTGGTCTACAAAGTTAGTTCTAGGCCAGAGAGGGCTATGTAGAGAGATCCCGTCTCAAAAAAACAAACAAAATTAAATATAAATTTTTAAAAATTGACCTTTTTAAAAATTTGTCCGTGTAAGTGTGCAACTCTAGCACACGTAGGTCCTGTCAGAGATCAAGCAGTGTGTCAGTTCTCACCTTCTGTCATGTGAGTCCCAGAGGTCTAACCCAGGTTGTCAGGTTTGGTGACGGCATCCTTACATGGTGGACTGTCCCTCCAACATCCTCCAGCTCTCTTCCCGCCCCCGCCCCTGCCTGGAGTCTGGGGGCCAAACTTCCATCCTCAGGTTTACATGACAACGACTTTCCCTACTGATGTAAGTTTCAAGGATTAAACCCAGATAGACAGGCTTGTTCAGCAAATGCATTCACTCCTCAATCCATCTCTCAGGCCCTCGATATTGTTTTTTGTCGGAGCTGAGGACCAAACCCAGGACCTTGCGCTTGCTAGGCAAGTGCTCTACCACTGAGCTAAATCCCCAACCCATATATATATATATATATATATATATATATATATATATATATATATATATATATATATATATATCCTCATGGAGCCCAGGCTGGCTTTGAACTCATAAGGATGAACGAACTCAAATTTCTGAGACTCCTGATTCCGTCTCCACAGTGCTGAGATAGCAGGTGTCTCTGGTCCCAAATACCTATGCTAGCTACCTTGGTTTCTCTTACGTTCTTCCTCTTAGGGAAGGGACCCTGTTGTATTAGTGGTTTCCTTCCAGATGAAACATTCCTTCCAGGAGGGAGAGAGAAGACTCATGAGACTTGGGAGGTCAACACAGTTCACATGCCTGGAAAGGTTTTTCCTTAGGAAAAATCTCACACAACAAAGCCTAAAGTCCTAGTGCCCAAACACTGGAAATCCAGCAGAATTTAAGGTCTAGGACCAAAGAGATGGGGTCAGTGGAACATTACGCAGCCCTAAAAAGGATGCTGTGTGTGTCTCAGTCTGTGTTCTGCTGTTGCAAACAGGAGACCACAGACTGGGTAAGTCACCAAGGAGAGCATCTGAGGCCCAGAAGCTACATCTGGTGTTGGCCTTCTTGCTGACCAAGTCCAGAGATGGTGCTAGCATTAGATGTTGGAAAGACAGGAGGCTTCTAGAGACTCAGTTAAATTATTAAATTAGTCTACAAGTATGACAATCTACTAACCCAATGAGTGATTGTCTTTCTTTTTTTAATTTTCCTTTAAAACATTTTAAAATTATATATATATATATATATATATATATATATATATATATATATATATATATATATATATATATATGATTTTTGGAGACAGGGTTTCTCTGTATAACAATCCTGGCTGTCCTGGAACTCACTCTGTAGACCAGGCTGGCCTTGAACTCACAAAGATCCGCCTGCCTCTGCCTCCCGAGAGCTGGGGTTAAAGGCATGTGCCACCACGGCCCGGAGCAAATAGCTTCTTGGTTAGTTACGAAACTTTGTGTCCGCTTCCTTTTCTAAGTTCTGGGATTCTGATGTGGTTATCTATTAAATTAATAGAAAAATTAGCTGTGGTAGTGACCCAAGCCTTTAATCCCAGCAATGAGGAGGTAGAAGCAGGTGGATCTCTGTGAGTTCCAGGCCAGCCTGGTCTATGTACATGGTAAGTTTCAGGAAAGCCAGGGCTACACAGAGGCACTGTCTCAAAAACAAATAAACAAACAAGCAAATAAACAAAATTTTAAAAAAGATTTTTATTGTGTGCATTCCTATATGCCATAGTGTGTGTGTGTGTGTGTGTGTGTGTGTGTGTGTGTGTGTGTGGATGTGTGTGTGTAGGTGTGTGTATGTGTGTGTATGTGTGTATATGCGTGTGTGTGTATGTGTATATGTGTGTAGGTGTGTATATGTGTGTGTAGGTGTGTATATGTGTGTAGGTGTGTATATGTGTGTGTATATGTGTGTAGGTGTGTATATATGTGTGTGGATGTGTGTATATGTGTGTGTAGGTGTGTATATGTGTGTGGATGTGTGTGTCTGTGGATGTGTGTGTATGTGCATGTGTTTATATGTGTGTGTAGGTGTGTGTGTGTGTGTGTGTGTGTGTGTGTGTATGTGTTTATATGTGTGTGTAGGGGTGTGTGTGTGTATGTGTTTATATGTGTGTGTAGGGGTGTGTGTGTGTGTATGTGTGTATGTGTATGTGTTTATGTGTGTGTGTGTGTATATGTGTGTGTGTGTGTGTGTGTATGTATGTGTGGATGTGTGTGTGTGTGTGTGTGTGTGTAGGTGTGTATATGTGTGTGTATGTGTATGTGTTTATATGTGTGTGTAGGTGTGTATGTGTGTGTGTAGGGGTGTGTGTGTGTGTGTGTGTGTGTGTGTGTGTGTGTGTGTGCCTAGAGGTCAGAGGACAACTTTGTGGTGTGAGTCATCTCCTTTTGCCTTCACACAGGTTCCGGACACAGAACTCAGGTTGCCAGACTCCCATGCCAGGTGTCTTTACCCAGTGAGCCACCTTATCAACACGTATCGATCCATCCATAGAAGCAGAGCTCCGATCATCTTTTACCACCACGGAGGATTGACCCAGATCCTTGAGCAGACTAGCAAATTGCGCTACCCCCGAGTCACATCCTCAGCTCCCCTCATAATAGCTCATGACAAGGGCATGGACCTCAAGAACAAATACCAGGTTGGCCATGAGGGCACACACCATCAATCCCAGCACTCAGGAGGCAGAGGCAGGTGGATCTCTGTGAGTCTGAGGCCAGCCTGGTCTACAGAGCGAGTTCCAGGACAGCCAGGGCTATGTAGACACTTTGTCCTTAAAAAAAAAAAAAGTATGAAAAGGTAGACTTGCTGGGGAATACTCACCATCTCAGTACTTGGGAACGTGGGAAGCAGAGGGAGGAAGATCAGGAGTTCAAGGTCATCCTCCATTTTATAACCAGTTTTGGGCCAGTTTGGAGTAGGTAAGACCATACCTAAATACGCAAACAACAACAAAAACATAATCTAGGGGTGTAAAGAGGGCTCAGAAGTTAAGAGCCCTGGCTGCTCTTCCAGAGGATCTGAATTTGGCTCCCAGCATCCATGTTGGGTCATTCACAACCAGCTGTAATTCCAGGTCCAGGGCATCTGACATCTTTTTCTGCCTCCAAGGGATTAAGTCTACGTTAGGTGACTTCTATCCGAATTAGAACGAGAGGAAAGAAGCCGAGTGGGCTGGCTCAGCAGATAAAGGTGCCTGCCATAATGCCTGAGGACGTGAGTTCAGTCCCTGGGATCCACATGGTGGGAGAGGACTGACTTCTACGAGATGTCATCCCGTGACCTATACACATATGCCACTGTACACGTGTGCACCCCATTCCCCCCCAAATTAAGTAGTTGGTTATCACCACACACCTTTAATGTCAGCACTCGGGAGGCAGAGGCAGGGGATTGCTATGAATTGTGGTCCACCCAGATATACATGGCAAGTTTCCAGGCTATCCAGGATTGCATGGTGAGACCCAGCTTTAAAAAAAAAAAGTGAATAAACGTAATTTTTTATGATTTATTTTTATTTCATATGCATTGGCGTTTTGCCTGTATGAGGGCATCAGATCCCCTGGAACTGGAGTTACAGACGGTTGTGAGCTGCCATGTGGGTTCTGAGAATTAAACCAGGGTCCCGTGGAAGAGCAGCCAGTGTTCTTAACCACTGAGCCATCTCTCCAGCCCCAGATAAATGTAATTTAAAAAAATTAAAAAAGAAATGGGATATTAGGGCTACAGCTCCGTTGGTAAAGTAATGGGCTAGCACACACGAAGCCCTGTGCGCCATCACCAGCCCTGAATGAACTAGGCATAGTGGTGTACACTGGTAATCCCAGCACTCTGGAATTGGAGGCTAGCGAATCAAGAGTTCATGGTCATCCTCACCTTCATGGTGAGTTTGAGGCCAGCCTGAGCTACATGAGACTCTGTCTCCAAAAAGAAAAGAAAAGATAGATAGTCAGGCAGTGGTGGCACACACCTTTAATCCCAGCACTCAGGAGGCAGAGGCAGGCGGGTTTCTGAGTTCGAGGCCAGCCTAGTCTACAGAGCGCGTTCCAAGACAGCCAGGGTTACACATAGAAACCTACTCTGGAAAAAAAACAAGCAATCAAAACAAAAAGAAAGAAAAGAGGAAGAAAAAGAAAGGAAGGAAGGAAGAAACAAAGAAAAAAGAAAGAAAGAAAGAAAGAAAGAAAGAGCAGGGGTGTCTCCTGATCCCTCAGAGAAAGGTGGAGATATGACCCAAACATGAGGGCAGACTTGAGAAGGAAAATGGCAGCGGGTTTTTTATTATTATCGTTAGCCATTGCTTTGATTTATTTATTTATTTTGCATGTGCCGTGATATGAGTCACGTGACAGGAGTGAGGGGTTCAGAGGACAACCTGTATGAGTCAGGACACACAGTGCCACATGTGTCCCAGAGACTGGACTCAGGACTCAGGTCCTACTTCAGACTTGGCAGCAGGTATTGCCACCTCACTGACCATTTATTATTATTATTATTATTATTATTATTATTATTATTATTATTATTATTTTGGTTTTTTGAGACAGGGTTTCTCTGGGTAGCTTTGGTGCCTGTCCTGGATCTCACTCTGCAGACCAGGCTGGCCTCGAACTCACAAAGATCCGCCTGCCTCTGCTTCCCGAGTGCTGGGATTAAAGGCGTGCACCACCACTGCCCGGCACCATTTATTATATTTATCATTACCATTATTTCTGTGTTGTGTGTGTGGCCCTGTACCACTGTGTGAGTGCCTGCATGCAAGCAGAAGCCAGAGGAGATGGCTCGAGTCTTTACCATCTTCCTTTTTCCCTCCAGGGTTTGTTTATTGGAAGGGAAGCTTGCCATCCTCCAGGCTAGGCTGGCTCTCGGGATCTGTTTGTCAATCTGACTGTCTGACTGTCAATCAAACAGTTATGGGAACAAACAGCCATGCCTGTGTGGTATGCCTGCATAACAAGTGCTTTTATCCACGGAGCCATCTCTCCAGGCCTTAATTCCGGGCACTAGGAAGGCTGAGGCAGGAGGATCTTGCTTTTGAGGCTGGCCTCCTCGGTGTAATAAGATCTTATCTCAGAAAATAAAGAAATAAAGAATAAGTGGCTGCTTGTAGGGGCCGGGGTTTCCCACCCACACCTTGCCTGCTTTGGGAAACTCTGTTCAAACACAAAAAGAAAGGGTGAGAGGATGTGGGGCGGGGTCATCAAGAACCCACATCAAGCCACCCAAACAAACCGACTGCACCCAGAAAGCAGAAACCCATAACCAACAACCCGCCTGGTGGTACAGGACCGTACTTCCGGCTACCCCGGAGACTGCCGATCACAAATTCAAGTCAGCCTGGGCTATGGCAGAATGAATCCAAAACTACGAAACCTGAATTTGCAGGTAGGTAAGGTGCATGCATTCTGGGAGGCTGTATCTAGTTTAAAGGAGGATAAAGTGCTGGGGAATTCGGACGTTGAACCCACATAGCCAGAGGAAGGAAGTTAGGGGCTCCCTGAAGCTGAGGTGATGCTTTTACGCCTCTGAGACAGGAAGTGGTAGTTTGGGTGTCTTACAGAAAGTGACTGATTAGACCCAAGGCTATATCTCATATACACTCAGCCTGGACTTTGCCTCTGTGAGAATGTGGAAGCCTGCCTTCCTGGCCACACCTGGAATCAAAGCCCGTCTTTCCGGATACTGTCACCCAGATCTAAACGTATCGAGAAAGTTAGGAGAACTTGAGGGGACTTGGAGAGGTGAGGGTCCTGGGGGAACCCAGAGACCGGGAGGTGGAGGTGAAGGAGAAGAACCGAGCAGACAGACAAACATCAGCTGATTGAAGGTGAGAAAGATAGGGAATAGTGCCCTGAGCAAAGGCTGGCCTGCCTCAACCAGTCTTCCAGCAAGTGTGGCCACAAAAGCAGGTGTCTTCGACCCCATATATCTGAGGACTGCTCCCTGACCTGGGAGACCCAGCCTCTCCACTTCTCCTACAGAGCCCAGCATGTGGAACTACCTGTACTTGCTGCCAGTCTTCCTAGCTCTGTGGGCTGCGGCTGGCATCTGGATTGTGTAAGTAGCAGAGGCCCAAAGGATGCTTCGGTCTGAGGGAGAAGAAGGGCTGGGGTCTGGACTCTTGGGTTTGACGGAGGGCTGGATTCCTGGGTCTGCGGGAGGACAGCTAGCTGGGTGTTGGACGCCTGCTTGTGACGGAGGATGGGGCCAGAAGTCCATTAACACAGTGAAGTGTTTTGTTTGGTGAACAGAAGGGAAAGTTACCCTTAAGTACCCCTTACTGACGCTTCCTGTACCCCTCCCATCTCAGCTTCGCAATTGCCGTGGCTAACAGGACTGTGGACCTCGGGAACGGCTTCCCCTTTATCAGGTACTTGTGGCTGACGGGGTGATGGGGGAGGAAAACGGAGGGTCTTACCTCGGAGGAGCCAAAGGATGACCCTGTTCATCTTCTGCAGTAAATGTGGGTCTTACGCTCCCCAGAGCTGCATTTTCGGCCAAGTCCTCAATACAGGAGCTGCTCTAGGTAAGTATTTCCAGACCTTTTTTTTTCTTTTACTGCCAGCCCAAAGCTGCCCAAAGAGTCCCTAGCTCCTCCTTCCCCAGATAGGGGCAACTAGCCCCTCTTCCCCGACAGCCGGGACTCCACATCCCAGCCCTCCTCCCTCAGACCCAGGAATCCAGACCCCAGGCCTTCTCCCTCAGACCCCAAAGCCCTGCACTTCCAAATCCCTTCTTCCGTTATCCTACCCTTATCTCCGACCCCAGCTTCTCCCTGTTTCAAGTCCTCCCCTTCAGCTGGCAACCCTGTGGTGAGTCTGACTCTCGTTCCTAGCTTGTTGGATCTGCATTGTGCGTTATCATCAACTCCGGGACTGGGGAGTCAAAACGTGGCAAAACCAGTTGATTCTGTGGACGGGGCTCCTCTGTGCCCTGGGAACCTCCATAGTAGGCAATTTCCAGGTGAGATGCGCTGGGAGCGAACCCGGGGGCGGTCAGCCTCCGGAAACCGGACTACAATTCCCTATGTTTCCCGCGGCTTCTAGCGGCTCTTTCTGTGGACTTGGCTCGCACGGCTTTCTGGGAATTGTAGTTCTCATTACTCTTGGCCCACGCTAGCGCCCAGAGGACTTTGTAGAGTGAGCAGCTTGTGCTGAGCTGTGTACTCAGAACCTCGCAGAACCCTCCTCTGAGGTTGGGAGAATTTTATTGCAGCCTCCATTCTCCGTTTCAATAAGTCACGAAATTATTGCGATCGGCACAAAGGTTGAGTCTTCTCTCTATACAGAATCTCCACAGAATTCTATTCGGTCCCTTTGGCCGTACCCTCAAGAGCAAGCAGCTTGTCTGTGGGTGGTCAGAAATGCCCAGAGATTCATAGACTCTACATGCGGCTCTACAGATAATTGTAGAGTGAATGAACGGACAAAGGATAGGAAAAATCTCACTGGTTTGATTTTGTTACTGTATTTTATGTCCTGTCTCTGTTGTTCGGCCCCTGGCTGAAAGCAGGTGAGGTGCAGGGTGGGCGAGACCCCAGGACGCTCAGAGTGCCTCCACTGGTCATGGCTTAACAGTTTATTTGCTTGCTCTGTGTTCCTCAACCTATTACTGTACTATACTCCTTCCTTAAGAACACTTTTTTTTTTCTTTTTTTGACTCTCAAGTAGCCCAGGCCAGTCTGGAACTCAATATGTATTGGAGGATGGCTCTGCATTCTTCCAGATCCTCCTGCCTCCACTTCATGAGTTCTGGATTACTCCTGTTTTATGGGGCACTGGGAAGCACGCCCGGGCAAGCACTCTGTGGACTGAGCGCTGCCTTCTCCGTCCCTATTCCATTTGGTTGCCTTTCTAAGGAACCTCCTAGGTCTCTCTCTCCAGTTTTCTCCCCCTCAATGACTTATTATTTGAGACAATCTGATTATTTACCTGCATTGACCTTGAATTTACATTCTTCTTGTTTCAGCATCCACAGTGTGAGGATTTCATGAATTTTTTTTTGGGCGTGGGGCGTGGGGGTTGAGACAGATTTCTCTGTGTAGCTTTGGAGCCTGTCCTGGATCTCGCTCTGTAGACCAGGCTGGCCTCGAATTCACAGAGGTCCGCCTGGCTCTGCCTCCTGAGTGCTGGGATTAAAGGCGTGCGCCACCACCGCCCAGCCTTTTCATGAATTTTTTTTGTTTTGCTTTTTTGAAACAGGGTCTGTCTCTAGCTCAGGCAGTCCTGGAACTTACTATGTAGCCAAGACTGAATCCTGCTTCAGCTAAGATTACATGTATGTGCCATCACATCTGGCCTTATTTAAAAAAAATGCATACATTTTTAACATGTGTTTTTGTAAGTCACAAACCATTATCACATTTATGAAATTTTCACCTGCCAAGTACCAAAATTTGGGAGTCATCCAGATGGTTGAGTATGTGAAAGGGCCCGCCAAGCCCGATAAGCTGAGTGCGAGCCTCAGGACTCCCATAATAGGAGAGAACTAACCCCTGGACCTTGTTCTCTGACCTCCACACATGCTTCATGTTGTGACACCCGCTTCTCCCCACAAAATAAGTGCAATAATTGTTTTCGTTTTGTTTTTTTGAGACAGGATTTCTCTGGGTAGCCCTGGCTGTCCTAGAACTCACTATGTAGAGCAGGCTGGCCTTGAACCTGGAGAGCCACTTCTCTGTGCCTCCGATAATTTTTTTTTTAATCTAAATTTTGCTGGGCGTGGTTGTACAAACCGGTTATCCTAGCACTTGGGAGGTAGAGGAAGGAGGATCAGGAGTTCAAGGTCATATAAATCAAGTTCAAGGACAACTTGGGCTCTGTGAGACCCTGTCTTTGGTTGGTGGGGGGGGGGGGGCTGTAGCTCAGTAGTAGAGTGATTTGTCTTGATACATGAAGTCCTAGGTTCAATCCGGGAGTTGGAATGAAGAGGCAGAAAGACCCTGTCTCAAAAAAACTAAAACTAATAAACAAAAAAATATCCCTTTGGGGTATGTTTCCCTCTCCACACTTCGGGGAATTCAAGATTTATTCTACTCATGTTTCCTGAACGGCTACTTTGTGGGATGTGCTATTGTTGGTATTAAGGGTTGAGGACCTAGCAGTGGATTTAAATTTAAACGGCTTGGTGATTGAGAACATTTGTTGCTCCTCTGGAGGGCCCAAATTTGGTTCCAAGCATTCATCAGCACTTGTAATTCCAGCTTCAGTGGAACCTGCACCCTCTTTTGACCTCCAGACAAGTGGCATGCACATACACACAAATAAAAACTGATAAATGCTCTGTGGAGCTGACAAAGGCCAAGGTACCTAGTCTGATGGTTGGTGATAGGGTGGCAGGTTCTATTTGTGTGTGGGAGTGGGTGGGTGGGGAGTACTTGCATGCCGCAGCATGTGGGTGGAGGCCAGAGGACATCTTTTAGGAGTTACTTCGTTTCTTCCTCTGCAGGTCCCTGAAAGCATTTACCAGCTCAGCCAGCCACCTCAGCAGCCCTAGGTTTTGCATTTTCCATTACATCCATTGGACTGGTTCAAAGTCTACTTCCTATCATTCCCCTCCCCTCTGCCATAATTTTATTTCAATTCTTCTCCCTTCCCCTAGGAGAATAACCAGAAGGCCACACACCTGATAGGGGCCTTTCTGGCCTTCATCCTGGGCAACCTGTACTTCTGGCTACAATTCTTTCTGTCCTGGTGGGTGAAGGGCCTGCCCCAACCTGGGCCCCGCTGGATTAGGTGTCTACGCCAGAGCTTCTGCATCCTCTCCACCGTCCTCATCGTGGCCAGTATCCTTTTCCGGGGCTGAGGACTGGTCAAAGGCGGCTTTTCTCTGGGGTTGTTCCCTCTGCCTTTTGCTGTGTGCCATAGTGGGCATCCCTTCGTGTCTTTGGGCCTTAGTGTCCATTCAGGATCACAGCTCTGGAGTGGAAAGTGGAAACCCAGGCATGGCGGCACAAAGCCTATGATCCTAATACTGGGAGGGAGGATTGCGAGTTCAAGGCCAGCTTGGGCTTTGTAGTAGGATTTTGTCTCAAAAGCAAAAGAAGCATAGTAGACAGCACTGACTTTGAGGTCAGATTGGTTGCTCAGGAACCTCACTTTCTCCGAGTATCCTGCAGAGGAATCTACTGGTTTCTTCTGTCCCTGAAGTGCCTCAGTGTCCTCTCTTATCAAGTGCAGATAAGGCTGAGGCAAAAAAAAGATCGCCATGAGCTTGAAGCTGCTAGCCTGGGCTACTTAGTGAGACCTGTCCTAAAGAAAATACAGGTAGTTAACCGATCTCAGTGTTGTGAGGAGGAAGCAGGGCTTGTTTGTGAGATGCTTAGCCCCATTCCCAGCATGCAGTGTGTGACAAGCAGGCATTCTGTTAATAATTGGCTGCCAGGGGCATCAGCCAGGTGTGTCAAGCATCTCTCTGGGTGCTGAAGAGCTGCAGCGGACTCAGACAGGGGAAGTCTCTTGGCCAAGGTGAAAATGCTGGGTGGAATCGGTGACAGGCTGCAGATGACTTGTGCGGCCCCACAAGACCAACTTGAGTGTTCACCTAAGTGACCTGAAATGGCCGCCATAGGAAGTAGTATTTGCCCCTGCATAATTAGAAATGCTACTAACTAGAGCCAGCCAGGTGTGTGTGTGTGTGTGTGTGTGTGTGTGTGTGTGTGTGTTCTGCTTGAGTGCGTGCATGTGTGTGCATGAGAGAGAGATGGAGGGAGAGAATGTCAGTCTAGCAATGTAGTCTAGGGTGGCCTCAAGGGCACTATGTAGCCAAAGATGACCTAGAACTTCTGATTGTCCCGCCCCTACTTTCTAAGTGCTGGGATTCTAGGTGTGGGGGACCACACCTTCTATCTTTTTCTGGTTCGGAGGACTGAATTCAAGGCTTTTCATATGCTAGGCCAGCACCCTACTAACTGAGCTATATTCTTCAGCCCCATCCCACCCTTTTTAAACATTTATTTAGTGTGTGCCTATGAATGTATGTGTGACTGCTCCTGTGCCACAACGCTTACGTGGACATCAGAGTTGGTTCTGACTACCACGTGATTCCTGAAGACTGAATCAAGGTTATGGGCTTGGTGGCAAGCACCCTCACTTGCTGAGACACCTTGCCTGTCTCAGCCCTTCCCCTTTCCTTTCCTTTCCTTCCTTCCTTTCCTTTTCTTCCTTCCTTCCTCCCTTCCTTCCTTTCTTTCTTTTAGACTTATTTCATTTGGAGGGTGTAAGTATTTTGCACATATATGTACATGCATCGTGTGTAGGTCTAGTGCCCGAAGCGGTCAGAAGGTGTTGGATCCCCTAGAATTGGAGATGTGAATGATTGTGAGCCACCATGTGGGTGCTGGGAATCAAACCCAGGTCCTCTGCAAGAGCAGCCAATGCCCTTAACCACTGAACCGTCTCTCCAGGCCTTGCCTGACACCCCCCACCCACCCAGACAGGGTTTTTCTGTGTAGCCCTGGCTGTCCTGGAACTCACTCTGTAGCCCAGGCTGGCCTCAAACTCACATCCGCCTGCCTCTGCTCCCCAAGTGCTGGGATTAAAGGGGTGTGCCCCCACTGCCCATCCAGAAACTTTCACTTTTAAGAAGCTTTGAAATCCATGAATGAAGCCAGACTTGGTGAATACTTGTAATGCTAGCAGAAGGAATACGGAGGCAGGAGGATCATGAGATCATCTCAAGAAGCTAAAGATAAAGCTCAGTGGTACAGAGCTTGCCTAGGGAGGTGTTGGGTTCAATATCTAGTCTCCCTCCAAAAGACTGTATTTTGCAAGCAACTTTAGGATGAGGTTTGGAGGTTAACTTACAGGTGGATGAGAAAAGCACATCAAAAAGCATGCACAGAAGGGCAATAGGGCTTAGCAGGTAAAGGTACTTGTCTCCAAGGTCTGACTTAGATCCCTAGGGCCCTCATGGCGGAAGGAGATGGATTCCACCGGGTTATCCTCTGACCTCCACACAGTGCTCATGTACAAGGAAATTAGTGAAAAGATGTCTAAGTAGACAGAAGGCGATGACTCAGGGCTGGACCTTAGAAGGTAAACTGACAAGAAAGGGTTTGCTTTTTCCCTTTTTGTTTTTGAGATAGGGTCTCACTGTGTAGCCCTGGCTGGCCTCAGACTCACAGGGATCAGAGATCCATCTGCCTCTGCGTGAAGCGGCACCATCAGCAAAAAACAGTTTTTGCTTGTCTGTTTGTTTGTTTGTTTTTTTTTTTTTTGGTTTTTCAAGACGGGGTTTCTCTGTGTAGCTTTGCGCCTTTCCTGGAGCTCACTCTGTAGACCAGGCTGGCCTCGAACTCACAGAGATCCACCTGCCTCTGCCTCCCGAGTGCTGGGATTAAAGGCGTGCGCCACCACCGCCCGGCTCTGTTTGTTTTTTGTTTTCTTTGTTTTTTGTTTTTCAAGACAGGGTTTCTCTGTGTAGTTAGTTTTGGAGCCTGTCCTGGAACTCACTCTGTAGCCCAAGCTGGCCTTGAACTCACAGAGATCTGCCTGCTGGGATTAAAGGTATGTGCCACTGCCACCAGGCCAGAAGATAGTTTTTTTGCTTCTGCTGTTGTTGTTGTTGTTTTTTTTTTTTTTAAGGAGTTGAGTGAAACGAGGTAAAGAAGCAGTGTGTGTGTGTATGTATGTATGTATGTGTATGTGTGTGTATGTATGTGTACATGTGTGTGCACGTGTATGTATGTGTATGTGTGTGCATGTATGTGCGTGTGTGTGTGTGTGTGTGTGTGTGTGTGTGTGTGTGTGTGTGTGTGTGTGGTGGTAGTGGGTGGAGCAGACAGGACAGAGGGTGACCAGTTGGTCTAGGGATTGGGGAATTCCCAAGTGTCAGCTTGGGTCCAAGGGGAGGTGGAGTCCCTTACAAAGAGGAACAGGTTTGGGGCAAGGAGATTCAGTTCCTTAAGGAGTGAATGTGGAGGAGGCTGTGGGTCACGCAATAGAGAGAAACCTGTAAATAGCCTGAGCCTGGCGGGCCGGGGAGATGTTTAAGAAGCTCCTAACCTGGGACTGGTAGTGCAGGTCAGTCGGTGGAATGCTTGCCTCGCATGCAGGAGGCTCTGGGTTCACACCCCAGCACTGAATAGGTAAGTTGTGGTGGCACATGCCTAGAAACCCAACATTTGGGAAGTGGACCACAGGCCTGGAATTTCAAGGTCATCTTCAGCTACATCTCAAGTTCAAGGCCAGCCTGGGCTACATGAAGGCCTGTCTCCAAAAAGCCCAAACAAAGGGGGGAAAAAAAAACCCAAGCAGCGATACAGCCGGAGGGAGCAGAGACGGGGTTGTGTGGAAAATAACGGGAGAGTCATTCTGGGATCAGGAAGGATCCACAGATTGGAAAGTGGGTGCGGAGCACCGGTACTCCATTTCCAATCAGAGTCACGTGGGAGGACGGACTAGGAGCAGATGGCGAGGGCAGGGTTTGGAGGGCACTGGAGAAAGGATGGGCGTGAGACAGGTGACCAGTTATGCCAGGACAGGGGAGCACCTCAGATGACCAAAGACTGCCCTGGCCTGGAGTGCCACGGCAGCTGAGGTGGGCCCTCGGGGCTTCAGCACGTGGCACGTGACCCTTGACTCTGGTGTGAAGTGATCATCCTGTACTCCCAACGTATGCGATCCGCCTCCGCGGTCTGCGAGTGGGCAGTGGCCATGCTGCTCTTCGTCCTCTTTGGCTTCTTTGCCGTGGACTTCTCCAGCTTGCGTGGATGCGCCCTGCAGTTACAGCCCAAACTGGACTCCAGCCTCTCACAGGCTCCCTCTGAGTCTCCAAATACACAGATGTCACAGGCGCTCTGACTAGGTGCCCGACTGTTGGTGGAGGAAGAAAGACCGGGCCAGGCCAGGCTCACGCAACGATGACCGGGAGGCTGAGGCGGACAGCCAGATGGATGCGTGGCAGAGTGGGCTTGTGCTCGCCACTCAGAGAGGCAGCATCTTGGTACCCACCTGTCCCTGTGATCAGAAGAAGCACCCCAGGAACTGAGAGGCGAAGGCAAGCGGGCTATCCCTGATCAAGGCTATTTATTAATTTTGTTGTTGTTGTTGCCGCGCGGAATCAGACACGGACGCAGGCAGGATCACGCGAAACCAGAATTCCTTCCGGGAGAGCAAATCCGTACAGAAGGTCGTAGTAGGGGAAGGAAGAAGGACCTGGTGGGGAGCGGGGGGGGGGGCCCAGGAAGGGGAGTGGGGGCCGGGGATGACACAGAGACAGAGGACCCTGTCCGGATCTGCTAAGCCACCCCCAACCAGCTCCCACCCCTCCCCCACCCCGCCCGCAGAGATTGATCAATAAATAAAATAATAAATTAATAAATAAATAGAAACAGCTCCCACCCCCCTTTTTTGCCCTAGAACCTCCCCCCCTTGGGCACGGCCCCTGGAGCCCCAACCCTGCAGGGCAAGACCGAGTTTTATGTCCCCCCCCCACATACTCCTTGGGCCTTATATACAGATTCACAGTAGGGGGGCAGGGAAGGGGGGTGGAGGGGGCTCCCCTCCTTCCCTGGCCCCCTGGGGTCAGGGTAGAGGGGTTCCATTGGTGGCCAGGAGCTTCTTGTCCTTAGGGGGTCCTCGGCGGGGAGAGCTGCTCAGATCAGGGTCAGGGCGGCCTGGTGGGGGCTGCAGGCTTCGGGGTGGGTTACCAGCAGGCCGGGTCTGGGCTCCATTCTTCTCATCTGTGAAGGAAGAAGTGATTTTGTATGGGCTGACAGGCTGCTGAAACCAGGTTGAGGCTCCTATCTGCTGGTCTCAGTAGCCCCAAGAAACCAAAGTTGGTCGGCAGGATGGCCCAGCGGGTAAAGGCGCTTGTCACTAAGCTTGGTGACTGAAGTTTGATCCCTGGGGCCCACATAGGAGGATAGAGACTCCAAGGTGTCCTCTGACCGTCACATGCACACCATGATGCTCACTCCCCCATACACAAATAAATAAATGTGATAGAAATAACAACAATCATAACAGAGATGGAATTCACCATTTGTGGGACTTCAAGTCCCAGAGACAGCTGCCATAGGGAAGCCCACCTTTTCCTACAGGGGGCCCACAGGTGCCCTGTAGCTTCGAAAAACCTGCCCAGTTTGTCCGAGGTCCAGGCCAGCCCACCACAAGGAATTCTCAGCTCTCAGAGGCAACCGCAGGGTTGATATCTGCTGTACCCCTTATCTACAACTAGGTAATTCTACGGGAATGGAGTTCACAGTGTTGTGAATTGTCTTGGGGTCTCAGACCCTTCTGCTTCTGCTGACCTGAGGAAGGCCACACTTTGTACACATGGGCTAGCATGTGTGTGTACACGATTTTGTGTGTACATGGAGGTCAACATCTGAACTCTCTATGTAGACCAGGCTGTCCTCCAATGTACAGAGATCTACCTGCCTCTGCCTTCTGAGTACTGGGATTAAAGTCCACTCTGTTTGGTTTATCTTATTTCCTAGGTTACATTTTTAAGTATTTATTTTGTGTGGGGACACACCCATGCTGCAGCTCACAAGTGGAGCTCAGAGGACCGTTTGGGGGAGTTTGGTTCTTTCGCTGAACCTGGAGCTTACCAATTGGTTGGATTGGTTAGGGGCTCCCCTGTTTCTCAGTGCTGGGATTACAGGGCTACATTGCAGTATGGCCAAACTGTTTCCCCTGGAGCTGAGAACAGGACCCTGCCTCACTAGGCAAGCACTCTACCCCGGAGCTAAGTCCCCAGCCCCTTGGCTTTTTCTCATGGGTTCTGGGGATGAAACTCAGGTTCTCATGCTTGCTTATCTAACAATGTACTAAGCCATTTCTCTGCCCCCACCCCCACCCCCTTTAGGTGTTATTTTATGTGTGGCTTCCCGCATGTATGTGTACCATGTGCATGCCTGGTGTCCACTGAGTTTGGAAGAGAACATTAGATCTCCTAGAACTGGAGTTCTGGATGGTTATGAGTCATCATGCAGACGCTGGGGTCTTCTACAAGAGCAACAAGTGTTCTCAACGGCTGGGACATCTCTCTAGCCCACCCCCACATAGCTCAGCTTGGCCCTGAACTCACTCTGTGGCAGAGGATGACCCTGAGCACCTGATTCTCTTGCCTCAGCCTCCCAAGTGACTAGATCACAGGTCAGGTTAACAGGATCTGGAGCCATCATGAAACAAGGCTCTGAGCATGTTTGTAAAGGATGGTCAGGACTAGGATAACTAATGTGGGAAGACCCACCCCAATGTGAGCTGTACCACTCCATGGGTGGGGCCGCCATGCCCTCTCTGCCATGATGGATGGTCCCCTGGAACTGCAGGCCAAAAGAAACCTTTTCCTTTCCCTCCTCCTCTTTTTTTTTTTTTTGGTTTTTCAAGACGGTTTCTCTGTGTAGCCCTGGCTGTCCTGGACCTCTCTCCATAGACCAGGCTGGCCTTGAACTCACAGAGATCCGCCCGTTCTTGCCTCCTGAGTGCGCCACCACCGCCCAGCATTTTCCTTACTCTGTGTGTGTGTGTGTGGTGTGTGTGGTGTGCTGCAGCTCCAGTTTGCTCTCCTTTCCATCATGTGGGTCATGGGGACCTGACTCAGGAGGAGTTAGGAGCTGGAGCACCTTCAGATGCTGAGCTCTCTTGCCAAAACCCACTTCCTGAAGTTGCCTTTGTAAGGTATTTTGTTGCACCAACCAGTCATTTAACTAATCCTCCTGGGCCTAAAAAACTCTGCTGTGAGAGGTTTTCTGTGAGTTACAAGGTTTTTCAGCGTCCCTGGTCCCCACCCACACGATGCCAATAACATCTTCCTGCTCTCCATGTGAGACTTGCCAAATGACCCCCAGGGAGGCTGTGGTAGGCTGAATAATGCTATCCCCCACAGACGTTCACATCATAAAGCTGGGGACCTGTGAAGACGTTGAGATCATGCCTGTGACTCAGAATAATCCCTGTGGGTGGGGAGACTACCTGGGATTATCTGGGTAGACCCAGTTTAGTCACACAAGTCCTTAAATGAACCAGTCATGTCAAGGGCAGAGCAGTGTTCCTGGCTCTGCAGGATGTGGCCACAGGTGAAGGAGGGAGCTGCAGAGCAAGAGAGGACAGCTCTCGGGAAGACACCCTGATGTCAGCCTGGGTGCCGCACCTCCAGGACAGCAGGATGGAAAATCTGTATTGTTTCAGGGACTAACTTTGAGGTCTTCTTTTTTTCTCGAGACAGGGTTTCTCTGTGTAGCCCTGGCTGTCCTAGAACTCACTTTGTAAACCAGGCTGGCCTCGAACTCACAGAGATCCGCCTGCCTCTGCCTCCCGAGTGCTGGGATTAAAGGTGTGCACCACCACCGCCCAGCTTGAGGTCATTTATTAACGGCAGCCAATGAATCCAGGATCAAGACGAGCCCTGTCAAGAGTCAAGCTACTAGTGTCCTCTAGTGGCTGCTGTACTCATTGCTGGATTCTCTGCGCTGGATCCCTTCTATAGGGGTGGGGACAGAGGGATGTCAGGCTGATTTCGCTGGACTCTGACGTACCTGGCATGCTCCTTTCTCGCATCCTGCTGTGGAGCCTACTTTTCTCTGTAAACTCTTCATTCACGTACAATTCTCATCTTTGCACCTTTGGTTGCTATGGCAGACACCCCTGGTACTACAGGCTGAATGCTGTGTCCCCCATCATTTTTTTAGGGTGGAGCCTTCATATATGGGCTTCGTGCCATGAAATTATCAAAGACCTCAGTGAAAGCTAGACAGGTGGTGGTGCACGCCTGTCATCCCAGCAGCTGGGACGGAGGCAGGAGGATGGGGAGTTCAAGGTCCTCTGTGTCTACATACCAAGCTTGCGGCCAGTCTGGGATAGAAGAGAACCTGTTTTTAAAAAAGCCAAAAGGAAACCTAAGGAGACACAGTGAGAAGAGGCCATCAGAGAATGAGGAGGTGGGCTCCAGACAGACACAAGATCGGTCACGCTGCCTTGACCTGGGACTTCTAGTCTCGGAACAAAAACTCTTGGGCTGGAGAGATGGCTTCCTGGCTAGGAGCCCTGGCTGCTCTTCCAGAGGACCTGCATCTAATCTCCAGCTCAGAACTCTCTGTACTTCTACTTCTGAGGGCTCTGGTGCCATCTTCTGGCCTCCACACACACCAAGCATGCACACGGTGCACAGACACACATGCAGGCAAAACCACCCAGGCACATAAAATATAATGCTATTTAAAAAAAATAATTAAAAAAGAAAATAAATTTTTTTTGTTTATTTCTGAGACAGGGTCTCATAAATATCTGTCTGGCCTCAAATTTGATACATAGCTGAGCATGACTTTGAATTTCTTTCATTTTTAAAAAATTTATGTGTATTGGTATTTTGCCTGCATGTATATCTGTATGAGGGTGTCGGATCCACTGGAACTTGAGTTATGGACAGTTGTGAGCTGCCATATGGTTGCTGGCAATTGAGCCCGGGTCCTCTGGAAGAGCAGCCAGTGCTCTTAAACACCGAGCCACCTCTCCAGCCCTGATTTTCTTTATTTGTTTTGTTTTTCAAGACAAGGTTTCTCTGTGTAGTTCTGCCTGTCTTGGAACTCCCTCTGTAGCCCAGGCTGGCCTTGAACTCATAGAGATCTGCCTGCCTCTGCCTCCTGAATGCTGGGATCAAAGGCGTGTATCTCCACTGCCTGGCTGACTTTGAATTTCTGATCCTCCTGACTCTAATGCTGCCTGACATTACAGCTGTGTGACACCATTTCCAGTTTACATGGTGCCAGGATTGAACCCAGAGATTAGTGCATGCTGGCCAAGCACTCTATAACTGAGCTACATCCTCAGCCCCATTTGTTTGCCTTGAGACAGTTTTATGAAGTGGCCAAAATGGCCTGGAACTAGTCACTCAGGATGGCCTTGAGTTTGTGGCAATCCTCCTGCCTCAGTT